AAACCAAGTTTGGTGACAATTGAAGACTATCAAATTTTGTTATGAGAGTTATGATATTCTGCTAAATTTTGTTGATATCTTTAATCGAAGGGTAGGAAACAAAATTCCAACTTTTTGTCACAGTTGGTTTTGAATCAGATTCCAATTCTCTTTTCTGTTGTGTAGTCAGTTTTTACCTTATTGCAAAGATTCATAGCGTTTTATCTATACCCTTGTCTCAAATACGCAGTTTTCTCCTCAAAATTTTTTGGATTTTTATCTCACAAACCGTTTAAGCTATAGAGCCCAGATTTGGACTGGGATCAAACTTCATGAACACCTTTAATTTGTGAGACAAACACCAAAATCGGTTGCTAGATCCGAAATCTTGGATCGATTAGGGAAAGAACTAATCTTTTTTGCTACTTTTCTGGAGTTCAGGCGACTTTTCCATTGATTTTGCAAATTTTTCTCCTGATTTTCACTGATTTGATGTTGATTTTCACCGACTTCCTGTTAATTTTCACTGATTTTCGTGACTTTTCGTGATTTTTTGACTTTTATTGACTTTTATTTTTGACCTTTTGATGACTTTTTCCTGTGTACACCGAATTTTCGAAGTGAGCAACCCCTCGGGCTGATGCCAGTCAAGTTTAAGTTCATCGCCGACGCCTACCGGGTGAAGGCGCGCAGGCCCGCGATGACGATGAAGGGCTCCGGGCCCGGGTCGGCCTGCACCGTCTGCACCGCGTCCATGTCGGCCTCCAGCACGTCGACGGGCAGCCCCTGTGGCGCGGCGTCCTCCTGCGGGTCGGGCAGCGGCGGCAGCTCGCGGTACTGCACCGAGTAGCCGACGAGCGCGCCGTGCTGCAGCGCGGCCTCGGGGGGCTCCCACAGGATGCGCAGCTCGTCGGGACCCTGCGCCAGCGCGCGCACCTTCCTGGGCGCGCCGCCGGGCGCCTCGTCGGCCGTGCGCAGCGACACGAGGCTGGCGTTGCCCGCGCCCAGCGCGTTGACGGCCTGCACGCGCACCTGGTAGGCGGTGGCGGGCTGCAGCGCGGCGAGCAGCGCCGAGCCGTGCTGGCCGGGCTCCACCTCGGCCTGCCACTGGCCCGACGCGTTGGAGTAGGCCAGGCGGTAGGCCGTGAGGGGCGAGTTGCCGTCGTACGGCGCCTCCCACGAGAGGTTGGCGGCGCGCGAGGCCAGCCCCGTGACGCGCAGCTGCGGCGGCGCCTCGGGCGGCTCCTGCACCGTGAGCTGCAACTCCTGCCGCGCCGACCCGTACCGGTTGGAGGCCACGCACGCGAAGCGCGCAGAGTCGGTCCGCTGCACGTTGCGCAGCGTCAGTCTGCGGGGGAACAAGTCCAAGTCAGGTCACTCCAAACACTCAAGAAACTTTGCCGTGCTGACAACTTCAATCCCCTCCTTCAGCCCTTCAAACTTCCGCCTCACCTGGAGGTGACGCCGACCTCCGTCGCGTCCTCCTTGGGCTTGAGCTCGTCGAATCGCTTGCCCTCGCGCGTCCAGTGCAGGCTGAGCGGCGCGTCGCCCTCCACCAGGCACTCGAGCTCGGCGGTGGAGCCTCGCGCCGCGCGCACCGTCTGCGTCGGCCGGTCGAAGTGGGCGGGCACTGGCGGCCGAGCAAGGCAGTGTATTAAAACTTTTTACAACTTCTCTACGAAACAACAAAAACAAAAACTATCCTGTGCCTAATTTTTCTTCCTCTCTACCGCCACGCCCCCTCTCCTCTTTGTCCTGCTCGCGCAAGCCCAGCGGCGTCGACTGACTCACCGTGCACCGTGAGGAACACGGACCTCCCGAGCGGCTTCCCCATGCCGTTGCTCGCCGTGCAGTGGTAGTAGCCGCGGTCCTCGCGCGCCGCGGCCTCGATGAGGAGGGTGCCGTTGTCCAGGACCCTGCAAGGAGAGGGTAAAAGTATTGAATCAAAGC